GAAGGTGGTGGTGGAGATGACAATGGCGATGGTGATGGTGGTGATGATGGTAGTGGTGATGGTGGTGGTGACGATGAAGGTGGTGGTGATGGTGACGATGGTGATGGTGATGAAGGTGGTGGTGGAGATGATCATGACCACTATGGTGATGGTAATAATGGGGAAGATGAAGGTGGTGGACATGATGATGGTGTGGTGGTGATGATGATGGTGGAGATGAAGGTGGCGGTGGTGGTGATGGTGATGGCGGCTCCTGTCTATGAGGGGTCCCCGACAGGTGTGTACACTGCCCAGGAGAGTGCGAGCATGGACTTACTAGGTTCTCAGCACTACCTGTGAGACAGAGGTCATAGCTCAACCTGGACAGATTAGGACACTGAGGCCAGTCAAGGCCAAGTCTCTCTCCCAGGCTTCACACCTGGTAGGGGGCATCCCGCCACCGAGGACGGCCTGACTGTGAAGTTTGACTTTGAACCCCACTGCCCCACAGTGTCTGGCACCTCTCGCTCAGACCTGCTGACCTCCAGAACCGTACCCCAAAATCTGCACCATGATTCCTCGTGCACCAAGGGGCAGGAGACAGTGGATGAATTGGGGCACCCACTGCTGGGGTTGTGAAACCTCAGCGGGGACCCTGGGAGCCAGGGACACCCCCAGGCATTGGTGACAGGAGACAAATACTCAGCAGGGAACACGGGTCCTCTCGGGAGCATCCCCCAGGGAGGACACCTGCTCCTCACAGCTGGCCTGCCGCTCGGGAGCTGCTGAGCTGCTGAGCATTTCTGAGCCTCGGTGTCCTGATTTCCAGAATCCAGACGCAGGCACCCAGCTCCCCGCATTAGGACAGAACAAGTGGGGTCTCCCGCAGCTCCCTGTCCAGCTTTGCAGCTGCGCAGCACCACCGTGGCCCAGCTGCCATCAGCTCCGCCACTGCCACGTTTGCCGTTTGCAAACACCACCAGCTACGCGAGGACTTCCCGCCACACTGGGCCTGTGCTCGGTGTTCTCGGGTGTGGTCTCATTCTAAAACAAACCAAGTGGAGACCCTGGGCCGCTCCCCCTGCCCAAGACGGATCAGGCACACAGGGAAATGAGGAAGATGCTCAAGGACATGCTTGCTGGGCCGCGGGGCACAGGAGGGCGCAGGGGTCAGACCCCAGGCTGAGCAGGGCGCGGCCCAGAGCCAGGGTTCAGCGCCCAGGTGGGGACGCGACCGGTGCAGCCTGGGGGTGCCATCCTGGGGATGATCCATCGCCTCAGCACAGGATCTGGGTGGGCCTGGGTGGGTCGCGGGGGCTGCGGAGCTGGGCTGGAGGGGTGCGGAGCTGGCTGAGTCCCCGCCCCCCACCCCCAGACAGTGCAGATCCTCATCGGTCTCATCCACCTGGGCTTCGGCAGCGTGCTGCTCATGGTCCGCCGCGGACACCTGGGCATGCTCTTCATCCAGGGCGGCGTCCCCTTCTGGGGAGGGTCCTGCGTGAGTGGGGGCCCGGGCTCGCCCCTCATGGGTGGGGCCACACCGATCCCCACCCGGCCCTCGCTCTGGCCCCCGCTTGGCCCTTTCCGGTGTCTGGGAGCTCCTGGGTGGCCAAGGCTGCCCAGGGACGGGAGGGTGGGCGAGAGCGCCAGGCCCGCGCCTGTGCCACGCATCCCCAGCCTCCTCCCCGCAGGCCCTGCACAGCCCGCGCCCTGGGGTCCCCGCACTCTGGGCCCCTTGCTGAGGTCTGACCTGCTCTGAAGGCCCTGGCCCCTCTCCCAGCCCCCAGCCGGTTGGCCATGGGCTGAGAACCAGGGGAGGGCTCCAGCAGTCCCCAGAGGGAGGGAGGGAGGGCTCCGGACTGCTGGCGTGGACGCTGCTAGGGGCCCTCTGAGAGCCCTGTGCACACCTTCAGACCCAGGGTGCCTGGCCAGGGGGCTGGCGGTGGCCGCGGGAAGCCGTGTTCATGTCCCCTGGGAAGGTGCGGCGGCGTGCCCGCCCAGGCCTTCCTGTCCACCTCCTCCACAGTTCGTCCTCTCCGGGTCCCTGTCGGTGGCTGCTGAGAGGAGCCACACCAGCTGCCTGGTAAGTCATGGTGCGGCAGGAACCGCCAGCGTCCACCGGCCCGCTGCCAACCCCCAGGAGGAGCCCAGGCGAGCAGAGGCACGGCCGCAGGAGGAGAGGAGCCAGGGACAGGAGGGGAAGGTGCAGGAAAGGGGCCTGGGGCTGAGACAGCCTGGGAGCAGAGGAGGATGGGGCTGAGGAGCCCCACCCAGTGAGGGGGGACCGTCCCTCACCAGCAGAGGAGGGAAGGAAAGGGAGCCACCCGGTGGCACACACCCATCATCCCAGCACTCTGGGAGGCTGAGGCAGGAGGATCACAAGTCCAACCTAAGCAATCTGGAGAGACCTTACCTCCAAATGAAAAAACGGAAAGGCTGGGGATGCAGTCTGTGCAAAGGCCCGGGGTTCGATCCCCGGTGCCATCAAAAGCAAGGAGAAATGCAGCAGGGCGCCTGGGGAGGCTGAGGCAGGCCGGGCTCCTTGGTCCGTCCCTGTGTCCCTGTTCCTCCCTCCTCCCCGCAGGTGAGGAGCAGCCTGGGCGCCAACATCCTCAGCGCCTCGGCGGCCTTCGCGGGGACAGCCGTGCTGCTCATGGACTTCGGCGTCACCAGCTGGGTAACCGGAGGCTCCAGGCGCCTCGCGGGGTGGGGCGGGGACAGGGACACCCGCGGCTGCGTCAGCCCGCGCGGCTCCGTGACGTCACGAGGCTCTGGTCCCCAGGACGTGGGCAGGGGCTACCTGGCCGTGCTGACCATCTTCACCGTCCTGGAGTTCTTCATCGCCGTCATCGCCACCCACTTCGGGTGCCAGGCCACGCGCGCGCAGGCCCACGCGGTGAGCGCCCGGGAGCCGCTGAACGCGCACCTGGGAAGGCCGAGGCAGGGCAGGCCTGGGGCCTCCTGCTTCCCCGGAAGGAACGTGGAAGGAGGGCCCGGCGGCAGGGCGCCCCCTGCAGGCCCAGGCCGGGGGTGGTGGGGTGGAAGGGTGCTGCCCGCCTCGGCCCGGGGAGGGGACGCAGGCGCAGAGGAGGAGGGTTTGCCTGCGGCGTTTATTCCATAAGGAAATGGCCACGGGGGCCAGGAGGTCCAGGCCCAGCACAGCGAAGGCTGCGGCCGCCGGGTGGAGGTGCTGCCAGGGTGAGGACCCTTGGGCTGGCTGGGCTGGGGGGACTCGGTGCAGGGTGTTGTCCAGCACAGGGGCCAAGGCCAGTAAGCAGCCAGGGCCCAGGGCCAGGCCTACGCTCTGTGCAAGACATCAGCACAGTTGTCATCCCAGCACTCTGGGAGGCTGAGGCAGGAGGACTGCAAGTTTCATCACAGCCTGGGAAACCTAGCAATATAGCAAGACCCTGTTCCAAGCAGCAGAAAAGGGCAGAGGATATCGCCCAGTGCAAAGGCCCTGGGGTCAATCCTAATGCTGGAAAAAAAGCCTGGGTGTGCAGATCTGGGAGCAGCCCAAGCCCAGAGCCCACCAGGACCCCACTCTCTCCCTGCAGTCTGTGATCTTCGTACCCAGCGCCTTTGGTACAGACTTCGCAGCGCCCAGTCCAGCCGCCTCCCCGCCCCCCGCCTACGACAACGTGGCCTACGTCCCCAAGGAGTCCTCCGAGTAGCCGAGGATGACCCAAAGGCTGTCCCTTCCCCCTGGCCAGCCTCTCCCACCCGGCTGCCCTGCCCCATCCCCTCCGGCTAGACCGAGACACCCAGCAGGGGCCTCTGTCCACGCCTCCCTTGGGGCTCCTTCCCCAAAGACACCAGCTGGTGTCCAGGGTGTGTGCCCCTCGCCCCTCCAGGGATACCCTGGGCTCCCTGAAGTCCTGGGCCTGGGCCTGGCCTTGCTCCCAACCCATGTCCGGAGACCCTCGCTTTCCTTGTCTGTAATATGGAGCTGGCCCTGACTCAGGCCCTGCCCACTGCCCAAGGGAGCAGAGGCTGGAGATGCCACCCTTGCCCCATCCAGCACGGCAGGTGCAGCCCAGCCTGGGGACCATGCTGTGCCCCTCAGGGCTCCCCTGCCATCCCCACTGCCCAGGAGCAAGGATGCCCTGCAGGTTACCATAGGAACCAGCTGGATGTCCAAGGGACAAGGACGCAGCTCAGTCCCGCCTCAGGCCCCAGTGTCACCTGTACAGTCCACACCACAGAGGCAAATAAACAGCGTGGCTTTGAGGGTGGGCAGTCTCATTTCTCACCTCAAGGACACCCAAGGTTGTCCAAGCAAAAGGGCACCAGTGGGCGCCGGTGGTGTGCCCCGGGTGGGGTGACCACACTTACTCCATTCCTCCTAGGCGAGGAACCCACGTGCACATCCCAAGTAACCCCATGCTCAAGGCCTCTGAGTGATTAAAAAGCAACACCAGGATTCAAACCCAGCTCCCTCTGACGTCACTCTGTGCTCTTAGCCCACCAGCCCCAAGCACAATCCCAAGTGCTCCCCACCAACACCATTCCCTCCTCCTTGCCTCTCTAACCCAAGGACTGGACAGCACTGCATTCATCTCCACACTCACGTCATCCAGCACACTCCTACCCTCCCTTCAAGAATCAGTTCAACTGCTGCCCCCGCTGTGAGTCTTCCCAAAGGAGGGGTAGTCGTCAGCCACTCGCTGGGACTAGAGCAGGACAAGCGAGGTGCCACAGGAGACCTTCACTGCCAGGGCTGTGCCCTGCAGAGCTAGCAGGGGGGTTGACCTTAAAAATCAAAAGGGGAGCCTGGTATGGTGACCCATACCTGTAATCCCTGCACTCTGGGAGGCTGATGCAGGAGGACTGCACGTTCAAGGTCAGACGGGGCAATTTAGGGACTTAACAAGGCCCTATCTCAAAATAAACAAGTAAAATTTAAAACAGAGCTGGGGATGTGGCTCAGCATGAAAGCCCTGGGTTCAACTCCCAGTACCATCAAAAGAGAAAGAAAAGTCAAAAGAGTACACTCAGGAACTTACAGCTTAGAGTTTAAGATCGTTAAGTGCAGAATGGGAAAATGTGCTTGAGGGCTTTGGAGCCGTTTCCTGGCCACACGTGGAGGAGACTGGGATGGGGGCACGGAAGAGGGCCCAGGCAGGGAGCCCACCCTCTGTGCTCTGCCGACTGAGTCCTTCGAGAGGACAGGGCCCAAACAGACCAGTCAGGAGAGAGTGGGGAGGTGGACAGCCTAGGCCGTAGCCCAAGGAGACAGCAAGGCCCTGGAGATGTCCCCGGCCAGACAGCAGAGAGCAGATGCATGAGCAAAGCCTCCACGGCTCCCCCCCGAGAGGCCCAGCCCACACAGGGCACGCCACTGTGTGGCCACGTCTTTATAACAAAGAGCAGCAGGTCATGGCCACCACCAGGGGCCAGGACAGCCTCAGCAGAGGACAGAGAGGACGGAGAAGAGGCGAGGGGTGACCAGAATGGGGAGTGAGTGGACTTCCCTGAACAGGAGCTGGAGAGGGGATTCCCAGGAAAAGCAATGCTGGAGACTAGGGAATGTTCCCAGGGAAATCGACCAAGATCTACATACGTGAAGGTGGGCTGGGGATTTAGCTCAGCGGCATAGTGCCTGTCCGGCAAGCGCAAGGTCATGAGTTCAATCCCCGGTACTGGAAAAAAAACAAAAATAAATAAATAAATACGTGAAGGGGTTGAACTATGTTCATGGATAAGGAAGCTCTGCTGCACTATGGTGTCATTTAGTACCTGTCATTAGCTCTACAGTCAATACAAGCCCCTCAAAACCCCAGCAGTTTGGGGGGAAATTGACAGAGTACCTAGGAGACTACGAAAATCTTTGAGAAAGTTGGAGGACTCTGATTCCCTGGGTTACTATAAAGGAGTAACTCCGACAGCTGTTTTAGGGCAAAAATAGACAAATGCACCAGTGAAACAAAGCTGAGAAACAAACCCCATACACAAAGTAATTCAGGGGGCTGGCTGCTGTTTGGTGGGGAAAGAACATCTTTTTTTAATAAATAGTTCTGGAGCAACTGGATGTTGCACAGAAAGAAAAAAAAAAAAAGAATAAAGTGAACTCTACTCTTCCTTGCAGCATCCAAAAAAATTCAAAATGGATCATAGATTTAAATTTTAAAATTAAAACAACTCCTAAAAGAAAACATAAGAAAAATCCTACTTTGGAAGAAGCCAAGATTTCTTAAACTAGATACACACACACAAGTAACTGTAAAGGGTGAATAAATTGCAGCTTATTAAAATTAGAACTCTTTATCAAAAAAACACCATGGTAAATGGAGAATACAAGCCACAGACTGGGAGAATTATCTTGAATTTGTAATATCTAGTGGAGGTCCTGCAGGCAGAATGGATAAGCAGTTCCTGAGAAGAAATAAGGAAAACAGAGCCTCCTGGATTTAAATTGTGCAAAGGACTTTAGGAGATCCTCCAACAGGAAGTCAAAGTGGCCCAGAAATGTGTACAACATCGTTAGACTCCAGAGGCATGAAAACTCAGACTCCAGGGAGACTCCAGCACGGCGCAGGGGCTGTGATTGCATAGACGTCCTGCCGGGGTTGGCAAGTTGAGGGCAGGGCTGGAGGAAGGACACGGGAAGTGTCACCACTGTGGGAGACATTCGGCCTCAGCTACTAAGCCAGCCACATGCATAGGATCGGATCCAGCAGTTCTATCCCCGGGCACACTCCTGAGGGTGACACCTTCCTACACGATGGGCAGAGACTTGAAACATCTCAGATGCCCATCAACAACAGAACAAGTAAATACCCATGTGGGAAATATGGTGAAAAGTAGAGTGAAAGTTGAAACTTGTTTTTAAATTGATTACAGTAAAAAAAAAAAAAAAAATTGAGATTAATCCCTCAAAATACTCCCCTCACTTTGGACACGTTTGTCCCACACTTCTCGCCATTTTCTGCAGCAGCTCTGGAGTCCTCTTTCACAGGAGTCTTTAGTTGCGCTGTCCTGGCTGCCTCCCTGTCCTGAATGGACTCAAAACATTTCCTTTTCATGGTCATTTGCCTTTGAGGAAGAGCCGGAAGTTACACAGTGCCAGGTCTGCTGAATAAGGGAAATGAGGGAGGACACAGCATTGTGTTTTATTTGACAGAAATTGCCATAAACACTTGTTCAAGAGGAGTGCTCAAATAATACAGTAAATATTTAAATGAACAATTTTATTACTGAACAAGACCTTGTCATAGGTTGGATCAGGAATGTCACTCAAGGCCTGGCACACTCATGGGCCAGGATTTTGTTGGGGTTTTTTTTGGTTTTTTTTTCCGGTACCGGGAATTGAACTCACGACCTTGTGCTTGCCAGGCAGGCACTGTGCCGCTGAGCTAAATCCCCAGCCCCAGGCCAGGCTTTTGGAAGATGAGTCACAGGGACACTGTAGCTGACTTCCTGTTAGGAGGAGTGGCCCGGTCAGCACAGGTGGTCCCTGGGTGGCGGGGAGCCGTCCTCTCCCTCCCAGCTCCTCCTTCTCCCGCTTCCTGTCCACCATGCTGTGAACAGCTCTCCTCCGCCAGGCCCTCTGCCACGCCGCTTCTGCCCTGTAGAAGACGCCAACTGCGGACTACAACCAGGGACCAGAATAAACCTCCCATGCTCAAGCTGAGGATGTGGGGGGTCCTGTCTCATCCACAGGGCAGTGACTAAGAGAGACACATGGCCACTGACCTCCCTCCCAGCACCTCCTCTCACTTCGAACATGCTGTCCCATTGCTCTCGCAGTGTGGCCTTTCCTGCCCAAGTTGCTTTAAATTTAAACAGTCGCTGCGTGTTTTGACCACCCTTGTAAACTGCGGTGTAATTATCTGAAAGGAATAAATGAAAGAGCACAGCCGGCTGATAGGCCTAAGACGTGGCTGGATCCCTGAGCGCCCTGCTGAGCTCTCCAAGCACTGACAACTGCCGCGCGGGGACAGATGGGGGCAGGTGCCGGGACCCCCAGTGCCGGGCGGCCGTGAGCCACGTGTGCACCGAGCGAATGAACCCACCAGCGTGGACACGCTTCTGCACTCCACTGTGTGTCACCTCTGTCCTTCCAAAGCAGAGAAACAAGAGGAAAAGCCCTGCTCTCACAGCTGGCGCCGGGCTGGGCCCCATCCCGAGGTCCCCTCCTGGGTCCTCTCGGCTGAATGCAGAGCCGCTGCCGGGCCGGTGGGCTGAGGCCAGGCTTCTCGGCTGTCCCATCCTTCGCCTCAGCCCTGCTCAGAGAGGCTGTTGCCTCTTCCCAGCCAGCGGGGACACCCCTGGGGCTCACCCCCTCCGGCAGCAGCCTCCCTAGCAACCGGATCGTGGAAGTGGAGGGCCGGCGATCCCTTAGACTCTGCTGCTCAGCTGCTGTCCTCCACAGTCAGCGGTCAGACAGGAAAGGCGAGGAACTCCGCTCACAGCCCCCATCCCTCGCTGACAAGGACGTCCCTCTGCTCCCCGGGTGTCACCCACACTCGCTGTCCTCCGTCACCTCCTGAGGGCTCCCCACATCCACACACACACACACACACACACACACACACACACACAGGCTAGCTGAACCCCTGTCCCTGCGGACCCCCTGTGGCCGGGCCGGTTTGGGCACCGGCTGCCTCCGCACCTCGGCCTACACACACACACACACACAGGCTAGCTGAACCCCTGTCCCTGCGGACCCCCTGTGGCCGGGCCGGTTTGGGCACCGGCTGCCTCCGCACCTCGGCCTGGCCGGCGCAGTTGCAGTCACCTCCGCGGCCCTCCCTCCGCTCCCGTGCCCTCACCCTCCCTCCCAGAGCCGGCCCTGCCCCTCACCTGGCACAGCCCCCGCCTGCCTCCCCGCCCCTCGGGACTCGCCAGGGGACAGAGGTGACCGAGTCCTGCTGCCTCTGTGCGCAGGGCGAAGTCCAAGCTCTGGCGGGGCTCCGGGCCCTGGACTCACAGCTGCCGCCTTCCAGCCTCGCCTCTGCCGGGCAGCTGCTCCCTGTAACCCCCCATCACCTGCTTGTCCAGCTAAGCGCCCACCCTCAGGCCTCTCTGCTTAGATGCCGCCCCCTCCAGGGAGCCGCCCGGCTGCCCTGCCCCCGCCCCCAGGTCCTCTCTCAGGAGCTGCTCCCCAGGTCCCTCCCGCCAGGCTCTGCACGGTCCTTGTCGCCACTGGACCGCTTGTCACCACACTTCGTGGTTTCATCCAACACAGATTTCCTGGCGCGCCGTTCTGAGGTCAGAAGCCCTAAAATCAGGGGCTGGAGTGGGGACGCCCAGTTCCCCGCCCTTCGTGTCCACAGCCCGGGCCCCTTCTCCGCGTCCCACCTCCCAGACTCTGGCCCTTGGTCACGCTGGCCCAAAGGACAGCTGCAGCCAAGCTCCTCAGCGGCCTGTCCGTGCAGAAGCCCCTGTCAAGGCCGAGCAGGGTGCGGACACTCAGGGCGTCTCCTGCCGGCCACGGACTCTGGACACCGCACGTGGCCTGGGGCCCCAGCATGCAGCCCAGGGCCTATCCTGCCCTGGGAGCTCAGGAGCTGCCTTATCAAGGAGTGAGTCAGCCAGCCAATGGGAGGGGCTGGGCGAGCAGGTGACAGCACGCTCAAGGCCGAGTGCGAGTGACGTCGCAGTGTACAGCACGAGGAGGACACAAGGCAGCCGAGAGTGAGAGGCCCCGAGAAGACCACGGCCGTCCTCACTGTGTGCGGCGACCTTCCACATTGACACTTGTAACAGCTCAGCAGCATGGGGGTACGATTACTCCCAGCACACGGGGGAAACTGAGGCCTGCAGAGGTCTCACTCCAGATCGCAGTCACTGAGGGGTACAGCCAAGATTTGGTCTGGGGCAAGCGGACCTCCAGGTCAGCTCCACAGCTCCCTGCCTGCCAGCAAGCCAAAGCCAGCAGCCCCGGCAGCAGGGCATCCAGGTGCCCGTGGGCCTCAGGACACTGCCCGTCCCATGCCATGAGTCTGGGGTAGAGGCCTGGCGGGCCCTTGGCACCACTGGGGAGAGGTCCGGGGTCTCAGACCACAGCTCCATGCTCGGCAGGACCTGGAGGCCGCAGGGGTAAACCACACAGCTAGCCGGATCAGCCCAGCACAATGTGTGGGCCAGGCCTGGACCCTGCTCAACCCAATCAGAAGTAACAAGATGTTTAGGAGACAACTGAAAAACGTAAACACTGACCAAGTTAATATCTAGTAAGTAGCAAAAGCAGGTTGAAAATAGACTTTTCTGACCCCTAGCGTTGAAATTTCTCTCTACACCGAGAGTTTGTTTTTATGGAGCCGGGGATCGAACCCAGGACTGTCACACAGAGCTATATCCCTGTTCCTTTTATTTTTGGGATAGGGTCTTGCTAAGTCACCAAGTTGCCCAGCCTGGGCTTGAATTTGCAACCCTCCTGGCTCAGCCTGCCAAAGCACTGGGATTGCAGGTGTGCACCACCTGTTTCTAAACGCTCAGCAGAGCTTGGTGGGGCCTGAGCAGATTTGCCTCCGTGGCTCTGCGGCTTCCTTTTAACCTCCCGGTTGTGAGCAGGTGGCCACACTTTTTTAAGTCCATGTGTCTCAGCGATACGCCCTAAAATGCTCAGTGCAGCTTGGCTCTCTACTTGGTGAATGCTTGAAATTTTCCAAAATTAAAAAGATGCTCTGAAGACACCCAGCCTCTGACTCTACCAAGAGTACAGACATGTCAGCGCAGCCCGTAGGCACCGTGCCGGCCAGGCACATCTTCGCTGTGAGCAGGAGGCCCGTGCGGGGCCACACCTGTCGCCTGGCTCGGCTGGGGGTGGAGGGAGACTGATGCTGAGGAGAGGGGGCGGAAGGCAGGGGTGGGTCCAGGGGAGAGCCAAAGTCTAAGGCCATAAAGATGGCCCGATTGCCGGGCACGGTTCCCTGGCCGGGCAAGGCTGGCGTTCGGCATGGAAGTCCTCAGGCCGGGTGAGTGGTCCCCAGGGAGTGACTTCGGGGGCCCTCGGTGGGCTAGGATGGCCCACGAGCTAGGCTGTGAATGCAGGGGCCCGGGCTTGAGCCTCAAGCCAGGCACTGACCTCGAGGTGGGAGGCCAGGGGCATAACTTCACTCCCAGCCATAGGCCGGAGGCTGCAGAGCAAGTGCCCCCGTCGGGGAGAGGACTGGGGGTCCCCATCCGAACCCCTCTCACAGCGCCCACAGACCCCTGGGCTTCGAGGAGCTCAGCCCAGCCTCCCTTCCGGCCCGGGAGGCCAGGAGCCCGCAGGGACCTTCTGAAGACACTGGGACCCAGAGGGAAGGCACAGACCGAGGCCACTCCCCAGAGCACCGGCCTCTGTCTCCCCGACCCTGGGCTCCTTGGGGCGACCCCTGACTCCAGGCAGAGGCCCCAAGGAGGCGGGCCTGGGCGCAGGCTCAGGCTGCTCCCCAAGTGTGTGCGCTGAACCCCGATCCTCTCAGCCCCCAGAGCCGAGAGGGTCCTGTCACAGGGGTAGCTCAGTGCCACTCCCCCCTGCCGTCCTCTGCTCGGCATGCTGAGAACACGTGCGCACACCATGCACACTTGTGCACACACACGCACACACCCGCCAGGGCTCTCCCTGTCCCCCAGCCTCCGCGGCACCATCTGGCTGGGGCCATGCCGCCCACACCAGCCTCTCCCTGCCTGCTTGGCCCCGGGCCTCACCGGACAGCTCCTGCTGGCCCCGGCCCGGGCCCACGGCATTCCCTGGGCACCGCTCGCCTTCCCTCCGACACCCTGCCCTCCGCCCGAGAACAGCGCTGAGGGGGCAGTGAACCTGCCACGCCCGGGGACACAGGCGTGAGGTGACGAGGGGACCCTGGCTCGTGCTCATCGCCAGGTGCCCGGCCTTGCACGGCCCAGGCCTTACGCCACCCACCCCGGGCAGGCGCCAGTGCTCGTGCCTGCGGGGAGGGAGACACAGCCGCATGTAAGCAACCTGCCCAAGACCAAGCTCGAGCGGCACAGCCGGGACAGCCGGTCGTCCGCACCTTGCACAGCGCCTAGCCCGCTCTGCTGGGGACCTGGAGTCCTGCCGCCTGTCCCTGCCCTCCCGCAGCCAGGGCACTGGGGACAGACGAGCAGGACAGAGCGGGTGGAGCCAAGGCCCTGCTGGTCTCCGGGATGCCAGGCTGGCCGACAACACCCTCCACCCCGCGGGGGCCCTGCCCGGCTCCCGGGCCGGACGCTGACACACGTGAGGGGCACAGATGCCCTCCCCTCCCGTCACAGGAAGCTCCTGACCCCCGCCAGCCCCGAGAATAGGAAGCGACCCTCAAGGTCAGGGCCGGGGCCCACACCCGCCAGGCGATGCCTGTGAGAAAACAGAAGGACAGCGGAGACCAAAGCCCAAGGCTTAGTCCTTTCGGCCCAAAGCAGAGCCGACAGCGCGGAGCCACTGGGCTGTCAGCGAAGTTTGAGGGAGGCGCTCAGTGCTAAAACACTAAGGGACTCTAAGGAATTCCGCCCAGGAATTCACAGCCCCTTTAATAGCGGAAGGAGCAAAAAAATGGTAACCAGGGCTTCCCAAACCCACTGGCCCAGGGAACCCTCCTACTGAAGCTCCATTACAACCACTGTTCCACAGAACACACTTTGAGAAAGGCTGCTTGGTCTTCTTGGGTCCAGCTCCCAAACGGGCGATGAACATGGCCCCTGCCAGGGCTGCCCCAGAGATGCCCAGGCAGGCGCCCTCCAGTGACCACACACTCACTCCCCTCCACGTCCCTCTCCTAAGCCTCAGAGAGGAGCCGCACCCTGACAACTTTCCCTCTGCCTGCGGCTGGGCCCACAGTGTGGATGGCGGCCAAGGCCTGCGGAGCAGTCACCGCAGATCCCAGCTCTGGGGCTGGGGGGCTCCCCCCATACCAGGTTCTCGGTCTGGCCCAGCCAGGGCAGACAGGCCCCTCCCAGGACCCTCAGCCCAGCAGCGGGGACCTCAACGGGCTCCAGAGGAGCAGCTGGAGGCCCAGGAGCAGCCTCCTCCAGGGGCTGGGGGTGAGTGTCCACTGCAGCGGGGCGCAGGGGGTGCGGGCAGGGCGAGGATGCACCGAAGCTGACGCACAGCTCCACCAGCGGCCTTGGCAGGCCAGAGCGTGGCAGGGAGGATGCCTTGGACGGGGGTCTCTGTGGTCCTTGGGGCTAGGTGCGGAGGGTCTCTCTGCAGACGGCCCCGAGAGGCAGGAAGGGACACTGCAGCCCCCTGTGGGGCACCCGCTCTCCGCAGGCCCTGCACCTCTCCCTCGGCATGCTGACCCTTGTCCTGGGGAGCGTCCTGGCCGCCACCGTCGGTGAGGTGCACCTGGTGGTGCAGAGGTGCTGGTACCCGTTCTGGGGGGCCGCATCCGTGAGTAGGGGCCGAGCCACAACCCGCGTGGGGGAGGCGGGGGCACGCTGGCTGGGCTGAGGGGGCTGTGGGGGGGCCTGGCCCTTCCCGGCTCCTCTTGGGGCAGCTTCTGAACCTCAGGGGAGCCCTGAGCCCTGGGCCTGGGCCACTGGGAGCTGGGGGTGGCATCCTGGCCCTCGGGGCTCCTCCTGGGGCCAGCGGGGGCGGCAAGAGCACTGCTGTGCGGTTCCCCGCAGCCCCCACCGGCTCCAACGCCTGAGCCTGAGCTCTTCAAGACCTGGCATCCACGCCCCCTCTGCCCCCACTGTCGCCCTCTCGGAGGTGCCACCACGCCAGGGCCAGCCTCCACGGCCACAGCACCCTGTTGGTCCGTGGCCTACGAGGACCACCCAGTGCCCCAAGACATGAGCTTGGAGCTGCTGTCCTTGGTGGCAGAACTCAGGAAGCAGGGAGGGCGGTGTCCCCGCCACAGAGGGACAGTCAAGCCTACAAACCCTGCTCGAGAGGGGGCACAGGGTCGGGGGGGCGTGAGGGCACCAGGGTGGCCCAGACGGTAGGGTGGGCAGGCTTTCCAAGAGGGACAGTGTCCCCTGCCCTGCCAGTCACCAGCTTTCTTGGAAAGCGGTGAAGGGAATCAGTGGGCCTTGGGGAACCCCAACGTCCCCCGCTTGGCTTCCGGGTCTGTCCTGCAGTTCCTCGCCTCCGGGGCCTCAGCGCTGATGATAAACAGGCTGCCCAGGTCCTCTCCGGTGAGTTGACGCCTGGAGCTGGTCTGCTCTGGACCTCGCGGGCGCGTCTGTGTGCCAGGCTGACTGGGCAGTGGCTGCAGGGGTGACATCACCAGGAGCAGACAGCAGAGGGCACTGAACAGAAGGCTCCCGGGCCTTCTGAGAGGCCTCAGCACCGCTCGCCCAGCCAGGCACCAGGGCCCAGCCCACCCTTCGGGGCGGAGCCGCCTCCTCCCTGGTCTGCTGAGCCTGGGTCTCTGGTCCTGTGTGACCTGAAGCCTGGGGCGCACACCTGGCGTTGCTCTGTCCCCAGATGCCCTGCGGCCCGCGTTTTCCGCCCCACACCCTCCCCGCCCCAGTCCGGCCCCAGAGGTCACCCACGCTGTCCGGCACAGCAGCTCCCAGGCGTCCTGGTGGCCTCAGCCTGCCACCTGCAGCCTCGGGTCCGCATGCTCTCACCGAGGCGGGCACAGAGTAGCCCCAGCACAAGCAGGTGGGGGAGGGGGGCGGGTGGTGGGAGGACGCTCCGGACAGCCTCGGCCTGCGTGGGTCCCGCACCCCCACCCTCTGCCCGGAAGCCCGGCCTGGCCCTGCTGTACCTGTGCCCTCCCCTGGGCTGGCACACAGCTGCCCCTGCCTCCTCAGGGACACAGGGCAGGAGGAACCTGTGCAGTTGGCCCAGCAGGGGACAGGCAGGCAAGGAGGGCAGACGCCGGGGCGTGGGGCAGGGCGGCTCAGCTCTTCTTGCCCTGGGCCCTGGGGTGTCCTGAGGAGGAGGACCCGACAGGCTCCCCAGCCCTTGGCCCCGGCTTCCACCGGCCCTCTCTGCCTGTAGAAGACGCTGTGCCTGGTGGCAAACCTCATCAGCTTCCTCTTCGCGCTGGCTGGCCTCTTCGTCCTCTCCAAGGACCTCTTCCTGGAGACCCCCTATCCCTGGCCATTCTGGACACCGTACCCCAGCCCCACGGTGAGTGCCTGTGTGCGCGGAAGCCTCCTGCGGCAGGGCCTGGTGCGGTGGGGGGCGGGCCGCGTCGCAGCTCAGCACCGGGACCCCAGCCTCACGTGTGTTCACACATGGGAAAGCGAGGTCAGAGCAGGGAGGGGGCAGGTCCAGGACCGAGACCTCGAGCTTTCCTCACTGGGCGGTAAATAGTCTCCCCAGGGGCCCCTGTTGCCCGGAGCCCCGCAGCGGTCCGGCCCGGCTGAGACCACACGGTCGCGCCCAGCTTGTGGGTGTAAACGTCAAGCTCCAGAGTGGCTAAGTGAGTGGACCAAGCCCACACAGCAAGGCAGGGGTACCTGGCTGCCCCAAGCCCAGCACGCTCTTCACCTTGGCTCTGCTGCCGCAGGGCTGGATGCCTTGAGCCCAGGCCCAAGGCTCTGATCTCGGGGACCAGCCTTCCTCACCCAGCCCACACTGGCACACACACGTGCGTGCTCACGCGGACACACACACTTCCCGCGCAGGCCGGCGGCCCTGGGAGATGTCCTCTGACCACGCCCTTCCACGCCTCTGGCCTCGGTATCCCCATCTGTCAGTAGGGTTGGCACAGGTGACCCTTCAGGCCACCTTCAGCTGTCCCAGGGCCCTCAGATGTTAGGCCAGGACCCCCTAGGAGCCCTGTGCCAGGCATGGCGGTGGCTGAGGTGGCCCCAGCCCCCCACACTCTGGGAGCAGAGGCCGCCGCCTGCTGAGGCCTGAGCCCTGCCCATCCCCTGTGCCCGCAGGCCTACCTCCAGCGGCTGGAGCTGGTGCTGCTCTATGCCACCTCTCTGGAGCTGCTCCTGCCCGGGCCCACAGCCCTGGCGGCCCACAGATGGCACCGGCAGTCAGCAGCGGTGAGCTTCCAGGCTGCCCTCAAAGCCAGCACAGGGGCAGCAGCCGGGGCGGAGGGCAGGTCTCATCCGTTCTTCACGGTCCCAAGCGTGCAGCGAGGGGAGCACGGCCCAGGAGCGGGCGGGCATGGGACAGAGGACAGGTCAAGGTGACAAGGCGGCCACAGGGGAGGTGCCGGGCTCCAGGGCCACAGGCCCACGCTCAGCTCCCGGGCCAGCGGATCCCACCGCAGTGAGGGTAAATCTTCCCTGGCACCTGGACAGGGTGAGCAGGGCCCGGGCGCAAAAGCAGGGATGCCTGTGAGAGGCGGGTCACGCCGGGCGCCTGCGGGGCCTGTCGTGACCCGTGTGGCTGTGGACGCTTCTCCTCGGTGTGATACCGTGCGCCATGCCAGCAAGCTCGCCTTCACTCGATGCCAGCTTCCCCACATTGGGCAGGCCTCATTCCCGCTCTACAGACAGGTACACTGAGGCTCAGCAAGGCCACTGCACTTCCCAAGGCCAAACAGCCACCGAGACACATGGGACTCAGCCCAAGGCGAGTCAACCCACGGCCACGAGAGAGACCAAGCTCTCTTCCGCTGGCGGAGCCGGGACACGACCCTTGAAAGGAGACTGGCCGCTCCCTCCATGACCCTGACCAGGAGGGCGCCCCCAAAATCCAGCTCAGCTTTCATCTTAGAATTTTTGTTAGTCCCTGTGTGCAGCATACAACGCTTACGTTCATGGGGAGCTGGTCCGTGGACGTAACACAGATTAATTTTTTTATATCCCGTTCCCCTCCGCCATCTCTTGGTCCACTTCCCATTTGTTTTTTGGGGGAGGTTTGGGTTTTGTGTGTGTGTGTGTGTGAGACAATGTCTCGCTATGTAGCCCAGGTTGCCATGGAACTGAAAGCGATCCTCCTGCCCCAGCCTCCCCAGTGCTGGGATTACGGGCGTGTGCCGCCAGGCCCAGCTCCCCTTCCCATCTGAGCAAGATCTGCCTTCCTGCTTCCTCTGATCTATCTTTTATTTTTCTCTGATTTACTTACACTTTGGGTTTCTCAGAGAAGAGAAACCATGCGATACTTGGGCCCACGTGTCCGACTCACCTCGCCTGTCACTGGTCTCAGGCTCGCCCCTGCTTCTGAGTACTGTAGACCCCGTGTCCCGTCCCCCCCCCCCGTCCTACACAGGGGACAGGGGTTCTCATACCCACATGCATCTGCATCCTGCTTGGTGCTGAGTTTCCGCACTGGGCCCCAGGTCTTATTTAAACCCAGGCAGACACTGTCTTGGGAGAGCCTGACGGACAAGCAGGAAGTGGCGGAGCGGGAGGGACCCGGGTCTCCGAGGCCAAGCCCTCCTGTAAGCACAAGGAGCCCGCGGGTCCTACCGCACCGTCCTCTCTCGGGGTCTTGGCGCTGTCCAGGACGGACTAAGGCTCTGGGCTGTATGTTTCTTACCGCTGCACAACAGCTCGGCCCAGCAGGGACAGCGCTGGATGACCTGGCTGCCTTCCCTCCCGAGGAGCTTCCAGGGCCCACAATCCTTGGCCTGCCGTTGGGGATCAGGACAAGGGCTTCTCTGGGGACCGTGGTTCTGCCACCAACCATGCTGTCCCGCTTCCCAGGGTCTCGGGGCCCTGGGGATGAGCCAGCTCTACCTTCCCAGCCTAGGAGGAAGTGAGGCTCCGAGGGTGACAGCTTCCCAGGGTCACCCAGCCAGCAAGTGGCCACACTGGGCCACGTCCTGCTGTGAGGGTGGTGCCAGGGACAGGCTCTGCAGCACTGGGTCGGTGCCCTCTGTCCCAGGTCGGGGGTGAGGCCGTGGCGGCCCATGGAAGCTGCGGGACAGCATGAGATGCCCGGAGTGGGGCCAGAGAGGGGGGACTGAGAGCAGGGCCTGGCCCAGTCCAGACAGAGAGCCCACGGGCTGAGCCGCCTGCCCACACCACCAGCACCAGGCGCAGGAGGGGACGAGGGCCCTGTCGGTTGAGCCCCCTGCAGCCCCTCCCCAGTGCCCCTCTCAGCACCAGTGAGGGGATGGTCACCCACAGGGCCCGTGGAGGCCACTTCCTGTCCAGCCTCCATCCCCTTCTTCCCCTCCATCCTGAGGTTTGCGAAGCCCCGGGGGGCTCTGGGGTCCCCACCCGGACACACCGGCGACTCCTCCTTGCAGGACGGGGGTGGCGCCCCCCCGGCTCCCAGTGCACCGCTGGAACTCACACACCCATCGCCCGGGCCTCTGCCGTCCTACGAGGAGGTGATGCGCGCTGACCCCTAGGATCAGCAGAGCAGCCACGAGGCCTCCTGCCCGGCCTCCAGGAGCGCCCACGGTCCCTCACCCTGGCACGGAGGAGCCCGCCCACTCCCGAGGGAAACCTCCCGCCCCCGTGGCCGAGGCAGGTGGCCTTCCCTGCAGGGCCCCTCCCCACCCTCAGCCTCCACCTGTGTGACACAGGGTCCGAGGCCCTCCGAATCCTCCTGCCTGCATTTTCCCCTCCCCCTGGCCACTTCTACTGTTCCGGCTGCCGTGGCCGCTGGGCTGGCTCGTCTCCACCTCTGATCGGCCGCTGAGCCTCCGCGGCTTCGGAATACGACGCAAAGCGGAACTCCGCAGGCCTGACGGGTGGCAGCGCCAGGCCAGCGTCCAAGATAAACACCGCTTCCAACAGACAAGAGGGCGCAAGGGGCTCACAGCGGGCGTCTGCAAACCTGTGCCAAGGCCGGCTCAGCCAGCAGCTGCCCGTGTGCTTGGACTCAGCTTCTTCCTGCCTGGGCCCCGGGGGTCCTCACATAAAACCGGACACTGGGCTCCAGTGCAGACGCTGACGCTCCAACACGTGAACAGGGCCCCCCGGGACAGCACCCCCATGGGAAGGACGTGGTCTCCGCTGGTGGCCCAGGAAGGCCACGTAGGATAAGCTGAACCTCAGACCATGGCGGCCACAGCTGCCCTGGGCGGCTGGTCACACCTGCCGAGTGTTCCCCGGCACTCCACGGGACAGTGGACCGCTTTCTGCTTGTAATGAAACAGCATGCGTCGTTATCAAACGGGGGAATGTAAAAACGATCTTTCTGGAATACATGAACATGCCCTGCAGGAAAGTTCCAAATTTATTAAAACTAACTGTGCAGCACCACACGGAAACCAGTGTCCGAAACCCAAGATTTGGGGCTGTGATTTATTCGGAATTATTTACACACATTCCATAGGTTGAACTCAGTTTTGTTTTGTTTTTTTTCCTTTTCGGCTCAGCGTTCCTCCTCCCTTGTGTACACAAGGCTTCCAGATCCCGGGAATTATCCCCAGAAGGGTCCTGGGATCGTGGCGCCCGCAGCAAGCAGGGGCATTTGTGCGGCTGTCTGAGGGCGGGGGGCACTGAGCTGGGGACGTCCCTGAGGTCCCAGCCGGCTCTAGGACCCCACGTTTCCACAGCCACCAAGACAGATGCGTGGGCAACACGAGGCCTAGGATGCTCTTGCCCCGGATGGGGGTTCGGTGGCCTCAGAGCAGACAAACCAGAAGCCTCAGCCCCGGGTCAACCCCAGTCCTGGAGAGACACTGCCCGATGTCCCTGAGCCTGGGGAGGGACAGCCCAGGAACAGCGGGCTCAGAACAGTGAGTGCGTCCCAGAGCCACAGCCCGCCTAGGGTAGAGTGACTGTCGCCGTGGACGCAGACGACACCGGACTCCCAGCCCGGGCAGCCTCCTCCATGGGCTGGGGTGATGGTCCCTCCTCTCGAGATGGGGGCTCCCAGGACACTGGAGTCCAGGGGCCAACTGGCATCGCCCAGTGCAGGAATGGGAGGGACAGGAGGGACATGGGCTCCGCCTTTCTCACCAGCCAGTGTGGGCCACGCCCTCTTCACCAGCCACACAGCGGGCCGCCGGCCTGCAGCGTGTGACCCAGTCAAACAACTTTCCTTGCACTGAGCTTACTTCTGTGGCCATTTTCTATTCATGGCAAGCGCACCTGGACTTCCACCCATCGTGCAGGTGAAATCTACAGATGACGGTGGTCGCAGAAAGCCCACTGGAGGGTGACGAGGGAAATGCCCAAACTTTGGTTGGGATCACGCTGCGTAACTTTGCCTGTATTAAAAGGCATCGAATTGTAAAATGCAATTCAAAGAGTGCATTAAGTAAATAGTGACACAAAACCCACAAACATGTGGGGCTGGATTTAGAAAGTGCACTTTCCAAGTCCCCAGGGTAGAAGGGAAAAGCCCCACATGCTCACTGCTCTGCCACCAGCCTGCCTGGTGACGCCCCGGCCAGGGACCGGGCCAGGATGAGAAGGGGAACCTCCCTCTTGCTGTAACCTCTCCAACAATGAGCAGCCAGGTGAACGGAAATTAAAACATGACGCACCAATGTCTGTGCAGCGCAGCTGACGCAGTGCTTTGAGGGAAACCCATAGTTCAGGTTTGGGGCCGGGGATGTAGCTCAGTGGCATAAGCACCTGCCTGGCAAGCGCAAGTCCAGAGTTTGATTCCTGGTACCAAAAAAAAAAATCATAGTCTGGGTTTGCTGTAATTTTTACTGTTACTGCACATTTGCTGTACATCATGATTACAATCGGCGCTGCACAAGCTGGCTCGGCGGGAAGGAAGGGCCTGGGGTCCCCGCCCCTCCCTGGAGGGTCAGGGTCCAGGCCAAGTGAGGCCCAGGCACACTTTCAACAATGGTGTGCGTGATTCTCATGCTCAAGAAGAGGGGAAAGGCGAGGAGGGCGATGGATGGACTGCAGGTATGGACAGGGCTGAGCCCAGGTGTCCAGAGGACAGGAAGGCCCGGGGTGGAGACAGGAGGGGTGCGGGCCGAGGGCCCCAAAGCCTCAGGCCTCCCGGCTCTCCGTCCCTGGCTTCTCTTGTGGTCCGCGGCACTGGGCGTCATCTCGTTTCAATGTCTCCTGCTTTGCTCAGGGGCCAGTGCAGGTGGGGGAACGGGGTCCCTGTCCCGGCCATTATGCACAGCCTGTCTGCCACCCTCAGTGCCCACGGCGAGTGGTGGAGACGCCGGGTTCATGGTACCAATGAGCTGCAGACAGGGGCAGCTGTGGAGATGCCCGGGTCCCTGAGAGGCAGGAGAGCCGGTCCTGCAGTCAGCTGTCCCGCATGCAGACTCAGCCTGCTGTTTATCGGCTGTGTGATGACCGAGTTCCTGACCTCTCCGGTCCTCCGCGTGCCCAGGAGCAGGACCTGTGGGCGTTGGAAGCTACGCTTGCTGTGCGCGTAAGCCTGCGGCTGTGAAGCCCGACCCCCTCCTCCCGCCCTTTGTCTCAGTCCCTCTGGCCTCTGAGCCCCGGCCCAGCGCCCCACGAGCACTCGGTGTGTGTCCAGGTGCTCACGGCGACCGTGGTGCTCTGCCCCCTCTTGCTTGCATGGGTTCCCACGAGCCCGGTGCCAACCGCACACGCTGCCCTCGGTGGGCGGATGTCCTGTCTTTGCTTTAGTGGATACACACGACACCCCGTGCTTCCCCCACCCCTGCTCCTCAGTGGGGAAACTGAGGCCAGGCAGGGAAATGCCCGAGAAGGGGCCTCCTCACTCCCCAGCCGCCGTGTCTGTGCTGCAGGATTCGGTCTCCGACCCTCCACCCGCTCCCGGCAGCCCACCGCAACCCCCGTCCTCGCGGATGACCAGTCGGTCACAGCTGCCGTGAACGTTAAAGCCACAGGAGAGCAACATCAGCTCGGTGGGGCGGTCCCTGCGCTGGCCGCGCTGGTCAGCCCACGCCTGAACGGGTCTCTGTGGGGATGTGGCTTTTCACGCCCGGCCTGTGCTCTAGGGTGGGTGGCTCAGCACGTGGGGGTCCCTTTGGGGTGAGAAAGTCCTCACCAGGTAACAGTGAAGGCCGTGCACCTGAGGGGTGCACCTGACCCCACCGAAGGCTACCTCATCAGGAGTTCCGACGGGAAGTTCTATGTTGCGTGTATCTTACTGTGGGGGACCACCTGGGCTGCTCTCCCTGAAAGAGGAGCAACGGCCTCCACTTTGGCTGAGCCTGGCCCTACTTCCATGTCCTGATATGTGCAGAGCTCTAAGCAACGCAATCGGTCCGGCCGCGGCACTGGTGTGTAGTCTTTGAAGCAGAGACGGCAGGGCAGTGTTTCCCTACTCCCCCATGGCTCCCAGATAAAACATGTGTGAGCGGGGTGGGATGGACAGCCACGCCCCACGCTGTCAGTGGGACCCCCACAGCCACAAATACGCCTTAGTGTCCCTATGCTCGCCATGGGTTGCCCTGGAAGTGGTAGATTGGAATTACCTTGCTAGAATTCCAATAACTTTTCATGGGATTGCACATACAAACTTCCTGGGCTGAGCCGAGGACCAGGGAGGGCTCTCTCTATGTGGCGCTCAATGCGGCCAGAAGGCACAGCCCCCTCAGCACAGGGACCATATCCAGACTCAGGAGCCGGCAATCCACTGGACCTCGCGTGACCAATTTAGAGGTAAGCAGAGCATTTTACTAATTTTAGTGCTCAGACGCAAGTAGCGAGTAGGAGTCTGCTCCTCAAGGGTAGCAATGGGGCAAGTGCATTCTTCACCTGCAAAAGAGAGAGAATTCGGTCTATTGGTTAGGAAGCTATGAAATGACACAGACACTAATGTGCCATCTAAGCAGGTTTTTCGATTACTCCATGAGATAGCTACATTCTATCTTTCCTTTCCCAAAGCCGGTACACTCTATCTCAGAGTTTGGGATAAAGTAGGCGAAAGCCTTTATAAAGCTAAAACCCAGAATAAAGAATCCATCCACAAACCATAGCCACATGGTACCTACTGAAGGAGGCTCTACTGTCTTTGCAACATAACTTGGAAAAACAAGCAGGTCAGTCACAGACTACCATCGTGATAACCAAATCAGAGACTGGGATGAGTTTTCGGATGCTATAGAACAATTGAACCCATTTGCATATTTCAAGGCTCACTTCTGGTTTTATATTGGGATTGGTGTGCTCATTTTCTTGCTTATAATCCTTTTCATTAAAGTATGTCGCAGAGGATTCACAGCCCCGTCCTGACTAGAGGCCATGCAGCCCCAATGACCCTGCTCCAGCTTCTTCAAAGCGAAGAAGGGGGCACTGTGGAAGACACCTAGGTGACTCTCCTTGAAAGAAGAGCAGTTGTCTCCATTTCAGCTGAGCCTGGCCCTATTTCCATGTACTGATATGTACAGAGCGGGCTGGGACTTTTCCTTATCCCTTCAACTGGCTCTAAGCAGTGCAAACCGGTCCAGCTGAGGTGCCGAGGTGTAGTCTTGAAGCAGAGATGACAGGGCAGTGTTCCCCACCCCCGCAGCTCCCAAGTAAAACGTGTGTGAGCCGAGCCGAGGCGAGGCGGGATGGCGGGGCGGAGAGCTATGCTCCATGCTGTCAGCTGGGATCCCACTTTGAGATAAGAGGGCATAAAACATTACACATCAGAGCTGAAGCACCAAGCCCAAAACATCACATACTACCTCAAGTGAGGCATGCAGGTTACTCTTTCTGCAGGTCCTGCCCTCTGCATGTGCAGAGGTGATTTCAGGCCTCCTACCGAGCCCAGCTCACAGCACTCACCTACTTCCCACCACTCTCACAGTCACTCATCCTCAAGCCGCTCCCTCCTTCATGAGTGAATAAAACCCAGGCTCAGCCCGGGTTGAGGCCTTTGCTCCGGATGACCATCGCTGTGGTCAGTTTTAGGACCCCTTGGCTCCCCGTAACTACAAATATGCCTTAGTGTCTTTATTCTTGCCAGGTTTGCACTGGAAATAGTAGATTGGAATTAACCAGCTAGAATTCCAATAACTTTTCCATGGGATTACAAATATAAACTTCCCAGGGGAGGCCCGGGAAGGGTTCTATATTTTACCACAATAAAGAAAAACAGGGTTGAGGATACAGCTCAGCAGCACAAGCACTTGCCTGGCAAGTGCAAGGTCCTGAGTCCAATTCTTGGTACCAAAAAGTAAAAGCAACTCCCATGACCACGCTCGGTTTGGGATGTGGGCCATCCACCCAGCCCAAGTGCCAGCTCCCCCAGGGAAAGGGTGGGTATGGGGAGTGCGTGACTGGGCGAGGACCCCCTGCCAGCTGGGACCCATCCATAACACCACCCCACTGGAGGGAAACAAGGCCACAGTGTGGGGAGTGGGTGAAGGGAGACCCCCTCTGGAAGCCCCTTGTTTTCTTCAAGTTTCCATCATCTGGGGAATCAGGGAGGGTTTTTACAGCCCTGAAAGTTCCAGCACAGGTAGAAGCCTTTAGCAAAAAACAAGGCTCAAGGCTGGGCAAGGTGGCACACGCCTATAATCCCAGCACTCGGGAGGCTGAGGCAGGAGGGTCACTATGAGTTTGAGGCCAGCCTTCACAACACAGTGAGAGCCTGTCTTGAAAAACCAAAAAAAAATTTAAGGCCCCCAGTTCTCTGGGGCCACACCCTCCACAGCCCCAAACCTCCGGAGGCCCCTCCCGGCCCCAGGTCCTCGCCCTGAGCAGCCTGCTGTGTCTTTGCTGCTCTCAGAGCCGCAGGCAGCAGGTGTGCACAGAGCGAGACCCAAGGGATGGCCTGGAGAGGCCTGGGGAGTCCAGGCCAGATCCAGCAGCCCAGGGGACTACAGTTCCAGGCCCAAGTCTTCTGGGGCGGTCATCTCCTGCCCAGGGAGGCCAGGCTTGCTCCGCTGGGCCCTCCCTGATTGGGCAAGGCCCACCCCACTGTGGAGGAGCTGCAGTCCCCAGGGACATTCAGGAGGGCCGGCCAGGTCCTCCAGGAGAGCTACTTGAGGCCCTTGCAGGCCCCCTCGTGGTGCTGTGGTTCTGGCCGGGAAGCTCCTGTCCAACAGGGTCAGCTCCAAGCTGGGGCTCCAGCAGAGGTGGGGGTGGGCACTGTGGCCATCCATGGGCTCCTGTACACACACTGTCGGGTCCTCCCCGACACAGCCACAGTGGGCACCAGCTCCAGCTTTGTCTGAAGCCGGGAACTGTGTGGACAAGGCGGGGTGGAGCCGCTGGCTTGACGGGGTCACTGGTAAGGCCAGCTTGTGCCTCAGGGCACCTCCTCCGGGACCCTTCCACAGCCATCCTTGCACACAGCCTGGGAGGAGAGGCCGGGGCCTACGTTTAGGCAAAACCCCCATTCCCTGGATGTGAATCTGTCACCAGACTGCGCCAGGATTTCCCACACTTAATCCGCCAAAGGCTCACGGACCTCCACGCGCGCAGGACAGAATTTTCAGGGTGGCCGGGAAGAGGCCAGCGCAAGTTCCTTGGGCGAGCGGGAGCACGGCCCACGCGAGGGGGTGCGCGCTCGAGGTGCCCGCAGGGCAGAGCTGAGCGCCTTCGTTCCCTTCTCCGAGAGCGAAAAGCTGGGGAAAGCGCCCGCCCTGCCGACCCTCAAAGGTTCGTAGACCTTCTCCGGACTCGCTGGACCCCGCCCGTCCCTCGGCGCCCTCCCGCTCACTGCCGCCTGGTCCTGGTCTCCGGACCCGGGGCTCACGGCCTCGGTGCCGACCGCGGGGCCCGGGAGGCTCGGCCTCACGAAGTTTCGCCCTCCGGGTCCTGCGATCGCCGCGCCTTCCGTCCCCCGCAGACGCGGCGGGCGATGTCCCCGCCTCCCCGTCGCCTCCTCTCGACGCGCGGACCCGCAGCGCGGGCTCTCCGGGGGTGGCCGCCGGGGGTTGGTGTGGCGCGCGGCTCTGAGCACCGGGGAGCTCGGCCCAGCGGGAGAGGAGCGAGCGGCCTCGAGCTCAGCCCGGAAGCAGGGCCCAGCGAGGGCGCCGCACTGGGACCCCGGAGCCGCCCACACCCGCTGCTCTGCGCGAGGTCACACAGAGCCACCACCACCACCACCCCCAGCTGTATGAGGTAGCTGGGGCCTCTGAGACAGTAAAAGAATCGCAGGTAGTCACTTCTGGGCCAGCCCGACTGCAGGTGTGCGCCCTCCGAAGGAGCCCTCGCCCGCACGAGGCTGGTGCTCACGCGCAAGGCGGGCAAGAAGCCGTCTCCCATTCGGAAAGACGTGACCCACGCACACCCAGGTCTAGAGCAGCATAACTCAAAATAGCCGCATCTTGGAAGCAGCCTATCTGTCCAGCGACAGACCAACGGACAAAGAAACGGTGGTACCTGCACACCCTGGAGGATACTCTGCCATAAGAAGGGCGCCCTCGAGTCCCGTGCAGGAAGATGGGTGCACCTGCAGACCCTAATGTTAAGTGAGGTAAGTCGGGCGCACAGCTGAAATATCGCACGGTTTCTCCCATATGAGAAACCCAAACTGCACGGAACAGATGAAAAGGTAGATAACAGAAGAGAGAGACCTCTCACAAATGAGAAGAGAGAGACCTCTCACAAATGAGAGGGGACCAAGCGATAGAAGGGGAGGAAGAGGAGAAGAGGGCAAAAGAGAGTGAAGATTCGGTACGTGCACACACCAACTGCCCACGATGAATGCGATCGTAAGTCCTGCAGACACTGTTGACACAAATTAAAAGAAAGAAAGAGGGCTGGGGGTATAGCTCAGCGGCACAGCGCCTGCCTGGCACAAGGTCCCAAGTTCGATTCCCGGTACCAAACAAATAAATAATAAAGAAAGGAAAAGAAAGAGAAAGCACGGCCCTGCTCCAACAAGGGGACCCACTGCTCACAGGGCTGTCACTGCTCTCTGGCTCTCCCTGGGTCTGTCCATGTGGCAGGACGCAGGTGACCTCCCCAGCTCGGTTCTAAGAGCCAGCGCTGAGAGAGCCAGGCGGACCCTTATGGTCCAGACTCACAGGTCTCTGGGGACAGGTCTGCCCCAGTGCTGGCTGAGATGCCGTATCCCATCCAGTTCACAGTGAGGGACAGAGACTTCGCTACTCACGCCCCAGGATAGAAAGCGCACCCAGATGCGCCCACTTTGGAAAACACTGTTTTCTGCAGATTAAAAACATGTCACAGGTTCCAGTTTCCCAAACAGCAGGCTGCCTAGATCTGCCCAGAGCCATCTTGGAAATAGAGAGCTAAAACCACTCGAGCAAGTGGAGATCATATCCAGGTGTTGTGTAATATTTTACTCTGAGCAGAAAATTAAAAAGAGCAGCAAAGCAGCACACATGCGATGGGCCCCACCTGCACAGAAGGCACTCCACAAGGCCTGAAAATTTCCGGCTGATTTCAAAGACTAGAAAACACGGACACTGGCTAGCCAAGGGACTTGTTCTGGAGTTAGATCAAGTGCTTAAAAGACAGAGGCAGAGAGGGGAGGTGACTGAAATCGCATGTGTTTTGCAAGCCAAGTTCTGGACGCAGATGCCCGCCGTGCAATGCCAGCCGCTGGCCCTGGACAGTTCCCCAACCCTAGACCAAGTTCCCACCTGTGACAACCAGTGCTGCCCCAGGGGCTGAGTGAGACAAAAGCGTAAACACCCTTCAGGGATGGCAGCTACTCTGGACAGACTCTGGATCCCTCAGGCTTGGGCTGGGGATTTAGCTCAGCAGCACAGTGCCTGCCTGGTAAGTGTGAGGTTGTGAGTTTGATTCCCGGCACCAGGGGAAAAAAATAACATCCATATCGATCCCTCAGGCTCCCGGGAAGCTGGACTGTTGTTATGGCTTTGTAACCCGCTGCAACCTGTGACATGTTTTTAATCTGTCGATGTATGAATGGTGCTCGTCCGGGAAATGACCCATTCGTCCTCACGGTGGCCCTTCCACGGCGCAAGGCAGGGCACGTGAATGGCATCCTGGACAGTGAGCCATCCTGGCCCTGCTGCTCTGTCCTGCACATGGGCCTCGATGTCCCGGAGGCTCCCGGGCTGCTGCAAGGTGCTGCGGAGGGGAAGGCGCGTGTCAGCACCCGGTGTGCACGTGCAGCCACGGCAGAGCAGGGGCTGGTTTGAGTCCACCCCAGGACAGGAGCCAGCCGACAAAGTGAGACTCCCAGCACAGGTCAACAGATTCCCACCGGGGACCAGGACCTGGGGCTCTGTCGTGCAAGGAAGGCGCCTCCTAACCTCCCTGCTGCGCTCTGCCTGCGGCTCCGGGACCCAGGCTGCCAGGGCCACGCACCGCCATGCTGACCGAGAGGGCAACCACGGCGGAGGCAGATACGGCACTGCGGACCGAGTAGAGCTGGGAGAAGCCCAGGGTTGGAAGAAACGAGAGGAGAGGGAGAGTCAACAGGAGCAGGGGAGAGAAGTGACTCATTGTGAAACTGCATAGTTATCCGCGTCTCAGGAACCGAGAGTCGTGTGTGTGCGTGCGTGTGTGCGTGTGTGTGTGTGTGTGTGTGTGCGCGCGCGCGCACCCGTTGGTCAGTCTTGGCTGCCGGCTCTCCTGTGGACCCTGTGAACCCCCAGCCGCCAGCAACCTGTGCGAAGCCACAGCTCTCCCACCAGCACCAGGCGCAGGAAGCTCCGAGGAGAGCGTTCAGGTTGCGGGTTTAGCACCTGAGCCCCACCAGGCAGGAAGCCCAGGAAGGCCGACTGCTGTTCCCTGGGGCCTGTCCCTGAGCGAACTCTGGGTAAGCTTTTGCTGAGTAAACAAGAGGGTGAACTGGCCCTGGCCCTGCACGGAGATGAAGAAGGAACGCTCCTGACCGCGCCCCGCCACCCTCCAGGCTGCCCAGCTTCGCTGTCCATCGGCAGCTGTGCTTGGAGCTCGTGGACATGCACGTCCCTGGTTGTAGCTGTCGGGGTCGTCTGGGGGAAGGACCCACAGGATGTGCGTGTGGGTACACAAGGATTTATGCGGCCGGATAATCCCGCAGTGGAAACCAGGCACTGCTCCACCCAAGGGGCTGGAAGCCACGCAGCCCGAGGGACCGAGGATGCGGCCCCCTCCGAGGCTGAAGGCCCAAGCTCACTGGAGCATCCCCAGTGAGTCTGCGTTCAAAGGCGGAAGCAGAGGTGTCTGCAGCCACAGCCACCGCAGAAGCAAGAGATACCCGCTCAGGCACAATCCCACTTATACTCGGTCCTGTGAGCTCCTGTCCTGGACCCATGGGCCAGCGCCACCACCTTCAGGGTGGGGCCCCGCCTCAACTCGCCGGCCCATGTGGCATCCTCGATGGAGAGGCCCTCACAGACGCCCCCAGAAGCGTGCCTTGCCCACTCCCTGGGCATCTCTCGAAGCAGTCAGGTGACAGCCAGAATCCACCATCACAGTGGCCTCACCCCAGGCCTACGGCATCCTAATTCCTAGGGGACTCTTCAGCCCATCAAGAGTGGGAGGAGTTAAAGGTACCACACCCTCTTGGTAGGCGGGGCTAGGATGCCACACCTCCTCATAGGTGGGAGGCCCAGGTCGCCACGACTCTTCCTTGGACTTCCACCTCCCACCCGCTCAGGTGTGCATTTCTCACCCACCCACCCTTCCAGGGCCAGCTCAGGAGGAGGACGCGCCCTGGAGGCTGGTAAGATCCTGATCAGGGCAAGGAGGCCTTGTTCTGCAGCCCGCTCTGCCGTCGGGGCGGGCTGGGCCCCTTCCTGCTTTAGCAGAACCTGCAGATGCGAGGCGAGGACTGCAGATAACTCTGCTATCTCCCAGCAGATGCAGGTGCGTGCGAGCTCTGAAGAGGGGGCCCTTCCGGTCCGGTGGGCAGAGCCGCTCTGCACTCTGCAACGGCACGTGGAAACACGGGGTAGCGCTAGGCCAGCCACACTCCCAGCCTCGGCCCCACCCGCCCTCTGCTCAGGTCTCCTCTCCTCTCCTCGCAGGGGCCTGAGACAGCGATCAGAGATGGGGCTCAGAGATAAGAGCACACGATCACCTCCATCCTGCTCCCCTCGGTGCCGGACCCAGGAGCAGCCGTTCACACGCAGAGAGGGCGGGACGGCAGTGGAGGGAGGGGCTGGACCCCTGCTCGGCCATCGGCCAACTGGTCCAGGATCACAGGAAACACACGGCGGAGGTGAGACCGCCGCCCGGCCTGATGCGGGAGCCGCACACCTAACAGTAAACACCGCATTGCCTAGGTAAGAGGACTGCGGCACAGGAAGGCTGAGGTGCCAGCCCAAAGTTGGGGAGCCATGCTTGGAGGAGGGGGGCCTAGAGCTGCAGAACTTGCCTTCTCAGCAGCCACATGTCTGGTCCCTGGTCTGCGCACGGGAGGGGGTGCGGGGCGGCGCACCCCGCCCGGCACGTGCTGAGTCAGCAGCACTGCGCTGATGTAACCCTGAGATCCGCTGCCTGGAGGAAACCAGTGCCCACCGGATGCAGATAGGAGACCCAGGTGGGTGAGCTGAGTTCCTGGGCCTCCGCCCCACCGGGGAGCTACCGCCAGAGGCTCCAAAGGTGCCCATGACCCCTGCTCAGTGCCAGGTCACTCACCCCCCCACCAGGCCTCCTGGGTGCCCACCTAATCCCTGGGGCACCAGGCCAGGAGGGCGACTGTCAGCTCCAGCTCCATGCTCCACAGGTGTTTGTTGAATGACTGGAGGGATCCTCACCAGGACCCCACAGGGCAGGGTCAGCCATCCCTGCTTCACAGGCCAGGGAACTGGTGACAGGTGACGTGAGCACAGGTGCGGGCAGCCCTGGAACTGAGGCTTGCGGCTCCAAACCCGAACCCTTAACCTCCACACCCACCAGGCTCAGCCTTGCGGGCTGAGGACCTTCGGGGATCTCTCCACTGGGCACCAGGCAACAGGGACATTGCTGGGTGTGGCTGGGGAGGTGGAGGGGTCCAGCCACCCTGCTCTCCACCAGGGCCCAGCCTGCTGGCCCCATGTGTCCGGCTGGCTCCTGCAGAAAGACTCTAAAATGAGGATCAAAGTGCAAACCGTCTGTTGGGGAAGCAACCCCAGCGAGCGCCTAAAGGGGAGGGAAGTGAGACAGGGTAGGAGTGGAGGGACGGAGGACCAGGGTACATTCATGTTCCACAGCTCCAGCCTGCTGGGATCTCCGGGTACGGCAGAGAGGTCCCCTCACGCTCCCCGGAAGGCAAGGAAGCAGTCACAGAGAGCAAAGCAGCAGAGAGTGCAGCAGAGAGCAAAGCAAACAGCGGGTCCCCACAGCATCGGGCTCCTGTGAGGACCCCAGGCGTCTGCTCTGGACCCCTGCCCATGACGAGGAGAGGCTGAGCTCCGTGCGAGTGGGGACTCTGGGCCAGAGCTCCCCCGATGCCGGGGTCACTGAAACCTGCACACTCATCTGAGGGACACCTGGAGGCCTCCATCCACACAACCCCCTCTCCCACACCACCCTGTGGGAACCTGCGATCACCCCGAAGTGTTTCAGCAGGGCTGGGTGGGAGGGATCCCTCCAGCCAGGACAGGAGTCAGGGGCCTACGGTGTCCTGCAGCCGCCCTGGCCACCCACACTGGCATGGCTGGGAGTGCCGGACACTTGGGTCTCCAGGCCAGGGCAGGGAACCTGAGTGACCAGCGCAGCCCCTCTTTGGAGTACTGGGCAGAAGAGCTGGGTGAGGAGCCTGAGCTGCTCCCTGCAGGGGCACAGGGAGGCACCATCCCAGGAGGACTGGGGGATGCTGTGTGCCCTGGCTGCGGGCCAAGAGGTGACCCAGATCACAGTGCTCCTCCGGCCTCAAGAGCACTGGGGGGTCTTCCTCTCCCTGCCTCCCCCGGCCGGCTGACCCCCCTGCTTGGCATCAGAGCAGACTCAGCTGCGCCTGCGCCCAGGCTCCTCCTGCCCCCAGCATCCTGGGACAACTCCCCAGGCCTCTCAGGAGCCCCAGCTGGAGAAACAGTGGTTTCTAAAAGCAGCGTCTGGATGCGGGGCCTGGGTGCTAGGTCCCTAGGCAGCTCAGTAGTTCTGGGAAGAGCCGGGTTCCCAAGAAGCAACAAGCCGGCTGCCCTCGCGCAGAGGGTCCCCTAGAAAGTCTTCTCTAGGCACCGCCCCTGCGAGGCCCTTGTGGAGAGGACGTCCCCGGTGAGCCAGGGACGTGGGAGAGGGTCCGACCTGCTTCTACAGCGACGCAGCAGGTGCCCAGGTGCCCCTGTGACAGGGACGGTGGTGCCCCACCGCCGCTTCCTCTCCCCGTGGGATGCACTGGTCAGGGTGTGGGCATGATGTCCTCGCTCGCTCGAGGGGGCTGGGGCCCACCGCGGCGCACCGAGCAGTTAGTGCAGTCACCTGCAACAAGCAAGTGAAGACACCGAGGCCCAACCACCCGCGAGGACCTCTCCCTGTCCTCCTTTCTCCCCCAACTGGGGCCCGCTTCCTCCTCCCTGCACGCGTTCCTTTACCCCCCACCCCAAAGAACGGCATTTGCAAGAAAGAGAAATTCGAATCGCAGGAAAAGCATGCGTTCAGCTTGGCATGATGGGGCTCGCCTGTCATCTCAGCACTGGCCAGGCTGGAGCAGGAAGATCGCTGAGGGTTCGAGGCCAGCCTGGGCTACATAAGTAAGTTCAAGGCCAGCCTAGGCTACATAAGTGAGTTCAATGCCAGCCTGCACTACAAAGTGAGACCCTGTCTCAAAAAAAAA